TAAGCAACAATAATAATAACAACAAGATGAATAGATTGGTAATGAACCACTGTCGCTGCATAAAAAAGTCTAGTGAGTATTTTATTAAAGCTTTTTTGTTATATTTCAAATCAGATTCCCTAACCTTAATATTTGATTGATTGTGATTACTTAATTTATGTATACGGCGTGATAATGTAAAAACTTTTTGTTATACACAAAGTACTTTAGTTTCTTGATTATTTTATTAAGTAAATCAACCAAACATGCCTTAATAAAAATTAATATTTAAAAGTCTTTACTATCTCATTTGATATAATACTTAATATGTCACATTTTAACTCTTGGATTTAACTTCCAGGTCTATTATGGGAAACCAGACAATATCAAAACATACCATATATAATGCTGTCAAGGTCACTCTGTTATTACACCACGCAACCACTGAAGTTGCAGCATGTTATCACTGATAAACCAACAAATACAACAATATTTTCTCCATTTTATTTAAGACACCTATCTACTAGCAAGTGTTATTTAGAAAAGGAACCATTAAAACCATCTTCAAAAGTTGAAACAACAGTAGTAACAATAAAAAAAGAAATTGAAGAAAAAGAAAAGCTTCCAAAGAAACAAGAGCCGAAAAAGAGTTTAAAAGAAAGAATAATGGCAGAACTCAGGCATTACTACCATGGTTTCAGATTATTATTCATAGAAGTGCGCATTTCAGCGAGTTTGCTGTTTAAGATACTAAGAGGAAATTCTTTAACAAGAAGAGAACATAGGTTGTTAGTCACAACAATTGGAGATCTCTTCAGAATGGTACCGTTTATTGTGTTTATTGCAGTGCCATTCTTAGAATTTGCACTACCACTTTTCATCAAATTATTTCCCAATATGTTACCATCTACATTTGAAAGTACCAGCCAAAAGGAAGCAAAGTTAAAACAACATTTGAAGGTAAAGCTTGAAATGGCTAAGTTCTTTCAAGAAACATTGGATCAAATGGCACCCCAAGCTGGAAATAGACATTCTGAATTAGCCAAGGAATTCTCTTTATTCTTTACTAAAATAAGAACTTCTGACGATGTAGCTACTAGTGAGGATATTATGAAGTTTTCAAAACTGTTTGAAGACGAAATAACACTTGATTCCTTACAAAGACCTCATCTTGTTGCACTGTGTAAAGTATTAAATGTGTCAACAATTGGTACAAGTGCAATGCTAAGGTTTAATCTGAGAATGAAATTGCGTTCTTTAGCTGCAGATGATAATATGATAGCTAAAGAAGGTGTTGACAGTTTGAATTTTAGTGAACTACAACAAGCTTGCCGGTCTCGAGGGATGCGTGCTTACGGTGTGTCTGAGGAGCGTCTACGAAAAGAATTACGGAATTGGTTGGACTTATCACTGAATGAAAAAGTTCCACCATCTCTATTGTTGCTCTCTAGAGCTCTGATGGTGCCAGAGCATGTTCCCACAACATACAAGTTAAAAGCTACAATTTCGGCTCTACCAGAGCATGTAGTTATGCAAACTAAGGCGGCAATTGGCGAAAAAGAGGGCAAAGTTGACTTCAAGGTATATTTTTGTATATTATATATTTGTTAATTGCAATTAATACATTTCTCCATTTGATTAATAATTTGTTTAAAGTTCATATTTAAAACTGTGAACCACAGAACTGTGTCCAGTTTGTGTTTCCACCACACCAACTTCTTCCTATTTAAGAACATGTATACAATAAATAAAAATAAAAAAAAGGCATATTAAATATATATATGTAAATACTTCTGGTGATTTATATGCATCAGATAAAATTGTAAACAATGTTGCTATATAGTTTTAATGACTATGATTTTCAGACTAAAATGGAAGTTATTCGACTTGAGGAATTGAGAATTAAAGAGGAAAACAAAGAATTATTGGAAGCAGAGAGGGAAAAGCAATTGCTTGAAACCAAGAAACAGCAAAAGGAGGAACTTAAGGACAAGGCTCCCATTCTACAAGATATTAATTCAGTGTTAGTGGACTCTGCACCAGTTATTGCTGTTGACACTCCAAAGCCGAAGACAGATGAAGGATTATCAGCCAAGGACATTGAGGTTATTGACGATGCTTTAGAAAAATTAGGTATGATACCTTTTTTAGTGTTGTAAATAAATTTTATTTAGCGTTACATTACAGACGGTCCATGCAGTTCATTTGGAATACACACATACTAAAATTTTGAAACTGCATTGCAAAATGATCACCTAATTATTATTTTTTCTGTATAAATTGATTTAGTGTGCATCAGGCAGAAAAAGAGAAAACACAATATAGTCAATTACAATGAAATATGACACTAAATTGCATTGTGTTTTTCCCTAAATTGCAAAAATGTTCTTCCCTAGGGAACAAAGCTGTTAATTCTAGACTGACGTACACCCCAGTTACACGTTTCATAATATTAGTATTGTCAAACCTCTTAAACTTATAGAGATTGGCATAGTGCCCATTTCACAATGGTCAAGGTGTTCAAAAGTGAATGAATTGTACACAGAAATAGTATTTACTTTGACATGTTTTCTTAGGAATGAGGTCATTAACACTTTATGTATTTTTTATTATTATTTTATTCACATTTATGAAGTTTATTCTATTGCAAATAAGCTCCTAGGAGATCACTTTAGAATTGTATATAAATGAAATTTACACAGTAAAAAACAACAGTAGGTTCAGATTGGCATGAGGCAAATATTTCAGATCAAATCTTCTGTCACAATTGAACCCAGAGTCATGACCATACATCAGGTGAATGCAAATTATGTCTAAGTTGGACCATTAAATGTCTATTGTAACAGCAAAGATCACAAAAACAAATTAACCCCTTCCCTTGGCATTAATATGTGAATTGCTGACTGTGATGAAAATGGTTGTGTGAAAATAAATTATAATAGAGTAATAATTTCAGCTGAACAAAAGAAGTCTTTGCTTTTGGAGAAGGAAAGTATTCAAGAGCTGAAGACTGAACTTTTGGACTATAGCGAGGATGTTAAAGAAATGGACGAGATTGTGAAGAGTAAACAGGCCGATATTAAACTTACCAAGGGAGCAAGGAGGTAAGTTTAAAACTTAATGTTAAATGTTACATTGTTTAGTTATTTTTTGATGAATGATTAGGTAATAGTAAATGAAATTTAAAAGATAACATTTAAGTAAAGTGTTTAAATTTTGTTCTTTGCCTCTATTTTAATTGAATTTATTTAGCAGTCATACGTGCCTAACACATGTCCTCGATGTTTGAGATTACTATATGCCAGTTTGTTACATTATATGAAAAAGTGATTCCGAAGAGCAAAATTCCTTCATCTAGTCTTTGAGCATGCAATCTCAGATTAATAGTAGTACTAGTTATTGCTGATCTTTTCTTAATAAAATTCAAATGATTGAAATCTATAATTAGGTCAGTTTTCCATATTGCAACATGATTATCAATATTATTTATGACTGACTCATGTCAATAAAAACACGAAATAATTTCTCAAGGTCATACCCATAAGAGATTTATTAAGGAATTGCGTCATACGATTATAGTTAGACTTGGCGACTTTAAGAAACAATAATTAACATGGCCGCCCCTCTGCTTACTTAAATCAGTCGTTAATTAATCAGGCATTAAATTTCTTATTCATCCGTTCTATTGATATAATTTAATTATTATAAGAGCCATTTTTAGTACCAATTCACGGCTGCATTTTTTTTATTAAATAATACTTAACGCAAATACAGATTGGTTTATGATAAACGGTTAGGGTTGCCACCTTTTTTTTGCAACTAAAGTAAATTCATAATACACAAGAAAAAGAAAGTACATAGTGTGAAAATAAGACAACTTATTTTTCTTTATTATTATATTTAAAAATATATTTTTATTGCTTTTGCAGTTCGTATTAAATTAGTATCTCGACTAAACAATTGCACAGCATCTTTAGAATCTATATTTAAACATCGATTAATCGCCAATCGATAAATTCATTTTAACAAAAAAATATTTACGACTAAAGAAATCACATCAAGCGAAATAATGTATTATCATAAATAATGTACTTTATTATTCTCAAGTATAGAGTACAATTAACTGTAATAACGTACATACAATACTTTTTTATAAAGTACGGGTGGCAACCCTATAAACGTTTTATTCATACCTGTCTTGATACATATTCTCGTGCATTCGTTTCATGTTCGTGTATTTTAAAGTGACGCTGATAAGGGCAGACTTGGGATCAAAGTACAATCTATAGTAATATTATTAAAATAAATTTGTATATAAGGAATGATTTCATTCGATCGATCGATTTCGAAAATTCTTTATTAATGAATCCATACTTAAATTGGTTAGTACTAAAATATGGAGGCCCCTTTTAGGGTAAAAGCCTCCTCCATATTTTTCCATTTTCTTTTTTTTCTCTGATTTTTCTCAATGCATTGTTCAGATCTTATTGTCTTGTTTTGGTTGATAGGTATATAACGTTGAAACTGCATAATTTAATTGTTGTGACGTGAAATAATTTCGGTGGCGGTTTTTGTATGGATATGTCCAGATATTAAATCAAACACTTTGTTTGAAGCTGTGTAACAACTGACTTTAATGGTTTAAAATATGAGCTTATAACTAATATAAAATTAGGGGGTAGTGGGGTTGTTAATTAAATTTAAATGACACTTATGTTATTGGACATTATCGGAAAAGAGAATGTCAAAATACAAATTATGAGTGTGGTAAAAACTAATGTGCTCACATTGGCTTCAAGTTTGCGATGATTGCTAACATTTAGTTTACGCTTCTATACTCTGATTTTTAATTCCGTAGAATTCTGACAGCTATAATTTTTAACATGTCAGAGATGACAAACCTTTTTGGCCGGACACATTTTTCAATTTCAATACGAGTCAACATCTGAGTCTATACATAAATTTTATTTGTTAGTGAATGTATTATTTTATTAAGTGCGGTGGTCCACATTAAAATTGGTTTAACGGCGAGTGATAATTACATCCCCTTTCATCACAAACAGTAAAAAAGGCACAAGTAAAGATAACATTTTTTTTAAAGGTTTACTAATCCTGGAATTATTAGGCAGTGGTTATTAGTCAAATGGGTCAAATTTGTCCCTTTTCGGTGGAGACCTTTTTTAGTAGCAACACTTATGATATGTCAGAATTCTACGGCCTGAAAAATCTGAGTATAATTAATAATTAAAATATCTATAATATGTAATTTAACTAATGTTAGTTAAATTACATATAGACATAAACAGTTACATAACCTGTGGAGCGCCTTTTTTATTTTTATTATCGTACCGATTCAAATTTAATGACGTGGAATAGTGATACCTGTATTTAAGTAATTTAAATCGAGGGCCATTTTGATTTTTTTTTTAAATTCAATATTACAGATTATACCGTGCCGTCAACAATATGATAGGCAAATTGGATGCGGTTTTAGTGGAACTTGATAATAAAGAAAAGGCTCTCAAAACCACATTGGAGCAAACGAAATCCGAACCGCAAAAGGCAAAGGAGCATTTGATCCAGATTGATGAGCTGATGCATTCCATTAAAAGTCTTCAGAAAGTCCCCGATGAGGCCAAACTGAAGTTGATTCAAGATGTTTTGGGTAGACTGGATGACGACTTTGATGGGCAGTTGAAGATTGATGATGTTTTAAAGGTATTTAACAAATTAGTAATAATAATAGAGTTTGCTAATCTTGGCGCACAAATTATTGAAAGGAGTCTATTAAGTATGAGGGTGTGGAATTATTTAATCAATTACAGTCTACAATTCGTAATATAAGCGCGTTTAACCATTTCAAAAGGGCATTAAAGATTCATATAAGAATGAGCCTTGTCGACTAAAATTGGGACGGCTGATGGCGACGTGTATCTCGTTCGTATATTAAATTTCTCATGTAAATAAAAATACATTTTTTGTAATGAGAAATAAAGTTCTGTAAATATTATAATCCAGTGGCGCTACAACCCTGGATCCTGACATCAGCATTCGTTTATTGACAACCCCCCCATGTAACGCGCCGTAACGTTTTTCTGTACCCAAGTATAGTAAAACGTTTCGTGACCACCTAGTGACTCTTTATACCTAAAACTTTCCATTATGTAGTGTAAATTACTGGAAAGTCGAAAATAATATTAACAATAACACGTAATTTAATCCCCGCCCCGCATCGTAACGTTTTACAAGAGGACCCCCCCTCCCTAAATTCGTTACGTAATACTTGAACGCTCCCTAATCTATGAAAAAAAACTAGCGGGAATATTATGATTGGGGACTTAGTGTTAATATTTGTCCTTAACTGACCTAAGTGATTTTTTTATCGTTATCGTGTATTAAAGTCCGTAAACAAACTAATCGCCAAGGTCATTTTCTCACGTGCAATGATTAAAAAGTAGGTTATATTTAGTCTTCAGATAGGTAATAAACGCGGAAAGCATTGTTTTTATTTTATAATGTTGAATTAATTGGTTTTTTAGCTCTCCAAAGAATTTCTTAATAACCTTCTTGCTCACAGAAATTATTAAGAATTTCTATATAATATTATTATAGATAACGTATTTTCTGTAATTAAACTTCTCTGAAACGGATTTTTATGAAATTTTGTAAATATTCGAAGGTCCGATTTTTTTTAACATTCCTTAGTGATAAGGGTGATAAAAATATATTTAAAAAAAAATGATATTAGTTCTGTATTAATCAAGAAAGATTTTGAAAAAGAAGGTTTGCTGGGTCATATTTAAAAAAAATGTTTATTACATGTACATATGTTTGTTTAAACCCACGGCTTGTGATCTTTCCAGATGTTGGAAATAATCGGCAACGAGAACGTAAACCTCTCCGAGAAGCAGATGGCGGAGCTGATAGAGCTTCTGGACAAAGAAGAGATCTTGGAAGTGGAGAGTAAGATACAGAAAGCTCTGGATAAAGCGGCCATCACTGCCAAGGAACAGGATAAGAAAGAAGATGGTGAGGGCAAGGTAATTTAGGATTAATAATGGTGTTCATATTCGCTAAAGTATAAATGTGTCGACGTATTCATTCACCCCTAGGGTTTTATCGGGAATTGAACTCAGGAACTTTAACATAAACGCATTGTATAAAATAAGTTTAAAAAAAATAATATTTAGGTTTACATTCGTATCTCAAGAGAGAATTTTGTCTTAAGTGCTGTGAAATATGTCAAACTTTTTACAGAAAGAATGACACAGTTTTGACAGCTCTCGAAACTAGATTTAAGTTTTATTAACTTTCTAGAACGGGCCTTAGGCTCTCAAGAATTCAATATACATTATTTCATTATAATAACTATGTCATTCCATAAAATCTTTAAAAACATGTGTTTAATATATTATATACACACATATGTGTATGTGTATATTTTTGTTTGGTATTAATAAAATGCCAAACATCAATTATAAATATATACATATTAATTTGTCATAGCAGTTTTTTTTGTTATTAGATTTGGTTTATATACTGTAATAAAAAATAGTACAGTATATACTATATTTAAATTGAACAAACCTTTTTTTATTAAAAACTGCATTTTACCCAAAAAATGATAATTTCAATATATTTTTAATGGAAATATATTTTATATATATTTTTATTTAAATAATCGACATTGATATTAACGCCATCTCCTGTCGAGAGGTTGGTATTGGCATACTCGAAAAATATAGAGATTGTAATTTCGTGATTGGACTAAGATTGACCAATCACAGCCGAACGAAACGCGTCATCGTATCGTCTTTTGTTTCACGCTTTCACTATGCATTTCTAATCACTAATATTTTATTTTTTCTTTATAGACCCGCTTTAAGTTGAGTCACAGAAATGATTGGCTATCCACGGTAAAATGTATTATTTAAATGTTGTTGTCGTATTAGTTATTAGTTGAAAACTTAAAAATCACTGAGAACCGATGGATTGGCCGCTTCAGTATGTAATTGACATCCCCATTAGAGTATTACCTGGTTTTAACTTTAGTGTCTTATTTTTAACTGTTTTATTGTGAAATTGTTTGTTTTTCTCACACTTAGTTTTAGTTTAACTTTGAACGATATGTCATCACACTAAATAAGCACATAAGCTACAAAAACCTGTTTTTATTACAGAGTCTATTCGACATAATCCGTGAAGCGCACAGACGGCGGGTCATGAAGAAAAAGCAAGCTTCGGAAGTAGAAGCGCCGATACCAAAGAGTGACGTCAAGGCAGAAGAAGGAAAGCGACCGGAAAGCCATTGATTTGTAAACGCTAGATGTCGTTGTGAGCGAGAGAAATAGTGTCATCTCGTTCATACGTAGGGGCGTGGGATATGAGTTCTCACTTATATGAACATTGGTATAGGGGTGCAAATGAGAGAAGTGGTGTCATCTCACTCTGATATAGGGGTTTGGGATATGCGTTCTCGCCAATACAAAACACTGGTACGAGCGAGAGAAATAATATAGATATGGTTATATTGCTGATTCGCTTGCACATAGGGCGGATGAGTGCGATAAGTATATACAAAAAAAATGTTTATTCAAAATAATATGTAAAAATAACATTAACTTTTTCTTAAAATTAAATTGAAATTGAAGGCGTCATGGAAAATCGCACTGTTTGACAGCGACATCTCGATAGGATAATAAATAATATTTAAATACTTAGTACTTATCTACTTCTGTAGGATAATGGTTCGATTACGAATCTTTACGTGGAATGATCGTATGTATTTCAAGTATGTGTTGCGTTCCAAATTTTGCTATTTTATATAGTTTTGTAAGTGCCAATAGGTGGCGTTGTAATCAAAATATAATTTGCAAAAGAAAAAATTTATATAAATGCCATTGGTGCTTGAAATTTGAATTAGCTATGATAAAAAGCTCTTCCTTCCGGTTTGCTCTGTCAAATTAGGAAGGACTTGTATCGTATAGATATCTTATATTTTTACCTTTTATATGTCTTTTCGATGTAAACTATGACAATAAGCATTTTATTTAAATATAATCACCAAACTATTCCGTCACGTACAAAGTTTTATTTATTTTATGGTTCTGTTTTACCGTTCAGAAATTTATTTTTATCTGTGATCACCTTGCTGTAGATTGCTTTCGTTTAGTAGATATTAGCACAAATTCTACTCTTCATATTGTTCACTCTGACAAAATGTATGAAGTTTTAATACTAAGTTTGTGATATAAAAGTATGAAAATGCATTAATCTTTCATGTGGCTGGTAAATTGCATATAATGCAAATAAAGAATCTAAACCTGTAATTTATTTGTGGAGAGTATTATTTAAAGTGTATTTAATTTAAAGTATCTGTGAAGTTATAAATTACACAATATAATAGATGCTGAAAAGCCTTTAAGATATTAAAGATGTCGTAAGATTACCCTTTGTTTTATTAAAAAATATTTCTATCAAAACAAAACCTGGTAACACTTTCTAACCTAAATTAAAGTCGAACCATACTAGCCAAGACTCTAGTATCACTTTCTAAATACATAGTGGAAGGAACCATACTCGATATTTTACAATATGAAAGAAAAAACATTAACACGCACACAAAACAAAGAAAAATATAAGTTTAAAATTGTGGTGCGCACTGCGCAGACTTAATTTGGCATCACTCAATACATCACACCGAGAATCCTCTGCGAGCGATTCTCGGGTAAGCCTTATGACCACAGAACAGATTTTCAGTGAGGCCATTGAGGATATATGGATATGAACTTACAAAGACATAGCTAAAGAAATTTAAAGTATGTAATCAAAATAGATTTAAAATACATATACTAAATATGTTAATGAAATAAATATATTATATGTAATATATATGAATCATAGTATGAGGATATGATGTAATGCTAATGCAATGCGACTCGAGAAATCCTCCATACGAATTGTATGAATATACTTTCAAATAAATTTAAGGTCAATTTTCAAATTAAAGATATTACAAGATTTGTCAGGTAAAGGTAAAAAAAAGGATGTATCTAATGTTTAGTCACTGTAATACAGGTATTAAATCAATAGCTGAACCTGTAGGACGCCATTCATGTGTAATTTAAAATGACGCGGGAAAGTATGCGCGCGAAAATCATGACAGATCGGCCAGATGAGCTTCTATATTGGTCGCCGTTCAATATTCACGACCAATAGAAAAGCCGACACACATATTGACGAATCACGTCATTGAAAAAATGTAATCTCATAATCACGGGCTCTCTGTCGGCCATTTTGAAATTTTTCGAAAATCGAAGCATTGTTATTGGCCGAGGAAGAGACGTCATAGTAATCTTTTGACGGCGTTGCGCAAATTGTAATTTTCGACTCTCACTTATCGTGGCTGCCATGTTTTTTTTCATGCGGGGTGTGTGTGTATAGAAATTATCATGATAATTTCCCCACATAAATTACTACGGGTAAGTTTATGTTTTGATTTGATTATATATTGTTTTCCATTGGGAAGTGGTCCACGCATCCTCAGTGAAAGTGTATCATGTAATACTATCGCCTTGTGAAATTTCATCGTTGAGTTTATGATCGCAGGTTGTAGAATTCTCTTTTAGTATACATGAACGCAAAGACTTGCACTACGTTTCTCACGAATTTCGTGTTATCGTTATTAACAAATGTTTACTGTGGTACGATAGAATCCTAACTATTGCAAGAGTGCATATTCTCACCCTTGCATGAATGACGTTAATTTGGCGCCATCGACCCATTTAGCACGGCGGGGCGGGTATAGATTTCCATGAAATTCTTTGTGCCCTTGCAAGTCATTACGATAAATATAACAAACAACACGTGACATAGTTGTAAATAAATAGCCTGTTGTTTCAGAAGTAAGGGGTGCACGAAGTGCGTCATTCGTTGATCGCTAGTGACAATGCGATTGTACAAACTTTGTTAAACGTGACCGCTTGTACATAACTATAAACTAGCAAAGAAAAAGGCCAAAGACATAAGCATGTATTAAGAGGAAGGCGGCAATTTGAGGATCGATACTATAACACGGCCAACGGCGATTGAATAATGGACACTCGATTTCTGAGCACGATGATTGAATTTTATGGCGAGTTATATTACTTTGGGCAGAATGCGTAAAAACAAGAGAGGAAGCCAGGCCCACGCCGGCTGGCCTGCGACATCAAAGGAACTTCACCTCATCCCGCTCCCCATCTGATATACACAGACTCAACCGGTAAGTTAACAACAACTATGTTAACGATTTTAGCTAATTCGGCAAATTACATGCTAAACATAACTTAACTGACGTATGACAGCCTTGTATCAAGTAAAACAGTATGCCTATACTATAATTAATACAATACACAAAACTCTAGTGGGAACAAAACAATATTGTATAGTGATGTTTACTTTTGTCTACTTCTGTTAATTGCTCCAAGTTGTCTAATGATTTAAAAAATACTTTTGTAATGATACATTTGGTTTGTAATTATTGTATATTGGCTTAATGAGAACAAAGAATAATACTACTTTAAATCATTATCTTTTACATTCATCAAGATCCAAGGACAATAAAAGATAGCAATTGAATAAAATTAGCCTTCTGAGAGTTTTGAAAGTATCAAAGTCCAAAACTTTGTTTTATAATATGCAGCTCTACTGCCCATTAAGAGGAATGTATTGTTAGTTAATGCAGTCATTAATAAATAATTCCCTTTCAAAGTTTACTGATAAAGTATGTTGAATAAACAAGATCATTAACTTATTGATAAAACTCATAAACCCCTAATAATTTTTTACTATTTTCTTTACTGTCAAGAGGATATGCAGTGCTCAGTAATTCTGGAAAGGGGCTGTAACAGTAAAATGAAGACGTTAAACAGTTTTAAGAGCCCTTACACAAAGGTCGGTTTCTTGCGATATCACCACTTGATAATTCAGAGGCAACATATTATGGAAATATCAATTCGCCCTTGCGTTTTGTTTTATCAATAATCAAAAGTGAAGTTTGACATTATAATGTTGCCTGTGAAGAGCACTAAATTTTATTTTGCTGGTCCGTTTTGTTTGCATACTTCCTTTTGTTCCTTTGTTTGAATCTTAATTAAAAATTTAAATGCATACTGACAAATCATAAACACCTTTGTTTTAATGTAGGTTGTGTAGGTATAACATTATTAGTTTGGTATTTCATGGTTGCAATTTTTATAAAGTTTGCCTCATTGAAGCTTAGAATTGTGAAATAAGTATAGTTTTGTAATTTCAGGAGTCCCGTCTTGACAACATTGTTGATCAACTGTGCACAAGACTTCAAGACATCAAGGACCAAGAGAGCTCAACTCTCTTAGGAATGCCAACTTGTTCCTTAGAGCAAACTGAGGCTGTTCGTCGATACTACGCTGCATTCCCGGCTCTGAAGAAAGCGCAAGAGTCGCCATTGCAGTACTATTTGCCGCCGCCAGCTTGGTGTCGTAAGAACGACACAAAGGTCAAAATGCAGAGTGAATTGGCAATATCGCAGGATTGGAATTGCAAAAATAAAAAGTTTTCATTGGGCAAAGAGCGGCGCAACTCATATCACGGTCAAAAGAAGAACAGCAGAAAACGTTACAATAGTTACAGCCGATCTTTCGAGAGCAAAGAGAACATGCCGGAGTGGATGACGCACGAAGGAGTTTGGGACATCGAGACACAGGACCCCGTCAAGGAGTTCATTCGGGCCATCGCCTTCGACGAGGGCTACGCTACTTGCGAGAACACCGTCACCGACGAGATCAAAGAGATCAGCCAAGCCCAGTTTCGCTTGAACGACAACATGGTGCCCGACTGGGACGACAGCCTAGATCTCGACGCCCACTGGGTCATCGCCGAAGACCCGACCCCGAGGGCGAGGAGTCCGATGGACGAGGAACTCTACGCGAAATTCGAGGCCAAGTTCGATCGCAGCATCGAGGCTCTCTGGTCGAAAGATCAAAACACTCCGGACGACGAGTATCAAGATCTGCCGATCGACTTCCAAGACCTCCTGTCGTCTCCCTCCGACCGCCTGTTCGCCGAACCGTCCGCCGAGAAGAGAAGCCTGTTGACGGAGAGCATCTGGTCCACGAACTTCCCGGTCGTCCGGCCGCCGAAGACAGAATCTCCCTCGAAGATAGCCGAAGGCCTGCACGATCGTCTTCGCCCGTTGAACATAAAGGAGCCGGAGTGCCCCCGCGAGTTGGAATCGTTCAGTCTCTACGAGGGCGAGGAGCTCTACGACGCTGTGTCGACGGTCGCCAAGACGATGCGCTCCTTCACCGCGATCAACCACAGCCGCGACAACAGCGGATTCGTCGAGGTACCCCCGCGGCCTCGCAGAGACCGTCTCGCCCCCGTCCTCCGGCCCCCTCCGCCGCCCCGACCCCGGCCACCGCCGGACACCGACCGCGAGGATCCGCTCACCTCGTCGCGCACGCACTTTCGCCCGATACGCGGCGAGCCGGAGACCGAAGCGCCCCGATACGCCGACGGCGACACCTTCGACATCTGCGGCGACTACGACCCTGTCGAGTTCGAGCGCAGCCCGTCCGGCGGCCTCTACCTCGAGGGCACGCGCGAGCGCTACTTCGAGTACCGCATGCCGAACGCGATCGACTACGGCCGGCTCAACCTAACCGAGGCGCAGCGCTGCCCGGACCTGGAGGACACGAGATTCAAACTGCGGTTCCCGGTGCGGCAGACGGAAGCGGCGGTGCAGACGGAGCGCGGAGACGCGTGGGCGTGCGACGAGTGCGGCGGCTCGGCCAAGAAGATGAGGCCTAGCGGGATCGAGAGCATCTGGAGCGACGCGCGCGTTTGCGAGTGCGTCGTGGAGCCCGGGCCGAGCGGCGCGTCCGTCCCGCCGGAGGAGCTGTCGCGGGACTGGGAGGAGCTGCTGTCGGACATCAGCGCCGCGCACCGCATGTACGCGGGCGACGCGGACGAGCCGGGCGTCGCCGAGGACAACGCGGTCGGCTCGGACCGGAAGCGACGTCACTCGGCCGCGCTGCGTTGCGGGGGGAGGCGCCTCCTGCAACCACCCTCACGCTCGCTTCCTCCACTGTTGCGAACCGGCCCTGGACCGCCCGCTCACCCGGTAGGCCTCTGCCGTCTCAATGATGACTGTAGCGAACTTCCGGTCGGCCGCACTTCGTCTGAAGGGATCTGAAAATGTCTTTTGTGCTTAGCGAGGTTTCGCTACAGTTCTTATGCCAACTTGTCGATGAACTAACTTTGAACTAATAACGGTCCCTGAGTCTACGACGGTAAAGATTTTTCTATTTTGTTTTGTTATTATAAATATTAAATATACATTACGATAGGTTGGCAACTCATCATTGACAGCCGCGTTGCGATCTAATGGATTCCGTTCGGCGTCAACGCCTATACTGTGACTGTTAATTTTTTACGACGCGAACTTAAAAACATGCAATCAGGAAATATTGTAAAAATTTATGGTCTCAGTATACCGTTGCGCCATGCCACTCCTAGTTAGGAGAAGCCACTCGGGCACAATATCTACGCTTATTCGCGGACATGGCCTTTGGAGAAACCGCTTCGTAGATATCGTGTCAAGGCGGCCTCTATCGATTATTTTATCGAACATTTCGCGTTCTATGTATTAATTGCCTGCATTGTTTTTTATAAATTCGACAAATAATCCTAGAGATACGGAAGCGCTAGGATAAAGTTAACGCGATGAGCTTTAGAAGCCTTTATATTTGAAGAGGCGTTTAAAATGATAGCAATAGTCGTAGGATAATTAGCGAGACGTCATGTAATCCAATCTCACGAGGGCGAAAGTGCTACATATCTTCGATGGAGTCATTTTGTTTTTAGTTCAATATTTTGTAGCGATTTATATTATAAAGGAACGCTCGGCGGAATGCTTTCGCTCAAATGAATTTGTACTCGTAGAGGCGTTTCCAAGCGTAGGGTGAGCATTTCGCGAGCTCTTCGGACGATTTTAATATAATTCTTACAAAACGTCGTCCATTATTTAAATTTGTTGAAAACTGGATTTTGTTGTTTTTCGTTCGGTGCATTCAAAATTGTTTCCGTTATCGGCATTGGGTAGTTTAGAAAGTCTAGTATAATGTTGCCAATGCGGTTAATTGTTGACGGTTAAAGTCCGATGTGTCTTAAGTTAAACGCGGCGATTTTATTGATTAGCCGTTTATTTTAGGATGGCAGGCGAAGTTTGGACCGTGTCTGCCCTAGTAGTAATTAAAGTGTAGAGTTTTATACGAAGGACAATGTTCGTCGAGGTGGCAACACCTCTGTTGTGTTTCGATCGGACGAGGACGTCGAGTGGTTAATGCGGCCGGTCAAATTTCCCCACGTCTCGGGTAAATTTTATATAATGCTTGTTCGCTGCACTCGCTGCGGTTATAATTGTTGTATAGTATTTATTAGGCAGTGTTGCCAGCTTGGGGAAATTTGATCGGCCACAGAGTGTAACATATTAACCAGATGGATGGGCAAGTTCATAGGCGTAACAGTTATTATAGTTTATGTAATGCATAAGAAGTGTATGTTATATTTTATATCTTCGTTTTTGTTTAGGGAGTCGCGACCGCTGTGTCACTCTGGGTGACATTTTATACAGAGACCAATCATGGGGTGTCAGCCGATAAGCTTGTCGCTCTGTATAAATACTCCTATATATATTTATCATAAAGAGCCTTCCTTAACAATCATCAATATGCAAATTCTTACTATTGTGTCGTGTTTATATATTGTAACTATTTACTATTTTTTCTGTAATGTGGTTTACTTCTGTTTGTAATAACTGAAAAAGAAAAAAGAACAAAAAAATATATTTGCAAATTATTGCATTGGAATGGCTACTGTATATACATGTATTATGTATATTTAAATAATTGTGAAAATAATGTATTATAGAGGATTTCAGTTGTTTATAAATGTTATATTGTTTAACTATGTCGGTTCTGTGTTTACAGTGACAATGTAATCCATCTTGGATCATTGGCCCCCCGAGGCCCCATTGACACTTTAAACATCGAATGTTATTTTACTTTCAACTATGACTAAAGCTATATTAGAACGGTTGGGTATTTTAAACCATACAACTAATTATCATTTCGATTCATTTAATCTTATGTTTCATCAGTTTGTCATAGATTCATACTATTGTACTTACTCCATTAAATATATTCGCTAAAACAAACCTCGGAAAAAGTTGAAAATGTAAAAAAAATAATTGTTAGTCAAGTTTGCATATAATATATTTGATTAGCTTTAATCTAATGTAATGTGCTAAACTTGATAGTTTAAACATCTAAATGTTGTTTCATAGTTAGCCTGTGAAACAACAGAGTTGGCAACGGTGCTCCTTGGGGACTCATAACCACCGGTGCTAACTCTAATATTAGCTTTTTGCAGGTCATAGACTAAGTTATTTTAACAATCTTTATACTGTATATGAAACCTAAATAAAGTATAGTTAACTCAGTCTGTGGCCTGCAAGAGCTCAATCATTGAAATGAATGGCCTTATATGCTAGTATCAATGATTATGTACTGTTAGATTACTTAATCAATTGTGGCGGAAGGTATTGGTTCGAGTGATTTGATGGTAAATCCGTTGTCCCCAAATAAACCACCTAATATCGAGTGGTATTCGAGCTTTGTCGATATGTATTGGTAATGGCAATTTCACGATCGAATAATTAACATTGAGTAGAGAGCAATCTAATTTCGGACACGTCGCTAATCAGCACACGTAAAATAAAAAATACAAAAAAAGTTTGCATGTAGTTACATTTTATCCTGCAATGCTCTCGTCTCAAGAACAAGTCGGCTTGTAACCGATTGCTGTCTTGCCTTGGTTACATGCATATTTGTTGCATATCAATATATTAATTTCTTTCCTTTTTAAATATCAATTAAATAATTATACACTGTACGAGTGGTACCGTTTTTAGTAATTTTCAGTAAATGTATTGCAAATAAAATAATACCACCGATAAAGAATTGCTAATTAAAATTGACTATGAGATTATAGACTAAGCAAGACCTTATCTTAACTCGATTTCTGAAAAAATTAACTAGTGGTCACTACTTTTACAGTGGTTAACTCAAAAAAGTATTTTTATACCGGGGTATGAGCATCAGGGGATTTCACGTTTTATTATTTGGTGCCAAAATTAAATTCAGGGTTTTCAAACATTTTTAATAAATACTCCACTTCGACTTACCTTCTCAATAAAATTTGTACACAAATATGCACGTTACTTCATTGGCACCTATCATTATTGTTTAATTCATGTAGTTTCATACTTTAGTGTAGATCGATTATTATAAAAATATTTCTAGACGATATATAACATGCTTAGAAGTGGTTATCCCTGAAAATAGTTACCATTTTCGTTATGTTAGGTTGTGCTCACTACTCTGGTTCTTGCCATCAATGGGAAGAAAATAAAAATTAAACTAATCTGTTGGTGTTTTCTTTTTTCCTTTTAATGTGCATAATAAGAGTTCCCCTATAATAATTTATCACGTAGTTGGTATATATATAGAGCCCATAGGACTGATAGTTAACTCGCTTGTACTGGTTTTTGTATTACCTAGTGTAATATTCCGTGTCTTGGGAACGAAGATATTTTACCGGTAATCAAACCTGAAATCTCTGGACTAAAAGCGAGCATGCGGCGAACTAAACTTGACAACGGCTATACCTAGTGTTTTTAAAAATAACTGGCAATAACATTTTTTTATTTATCTTGCTTTTTTCGAAAACTAATTAATAGGAAAGTACTGGGCGAAGTCGCCACTCGGTTAGACCACACTTGACAGCAGTCGACAATTTCGTCCTTTTCTCGCGCGTGTGTTAGAGCAAGACCGCGCGATACAAAAACCTTAGTTTACACTTTCATCCATTGAAATGCACGCGGTGCCTCGACGGGAGCGAGCCGGTTTGTTGATTTGAAATAACAGTGAAGCTACTATTCCGTCAAACAAATAAACTAAAATCTAGTTTTGGATGTAGAACTTTGTGAATTGCGGACGCATTGTGAAGTTTTCCAACTGTTTCGTGTGGACTGAACCCGGAGAAAAGGTGAGCGAAATTTATTCTTACTATTATTATTCCGAAAAAAACTTCTTAAGCTAGTCAAATCTATAGTTTAAAATCACAGAATTATCATCGTGTACGACTCGAATAAGACAGGTTAAAGCACTTGTAGTGATGAATGAACTTTATTGTCGAAGATGGTAGATTAGGTTAGGAAAAGTTATTCAAGTTGTTTAAAGTAACGCCCTAATTTTGCCAAAATATCATCTTGGTTCCAGATGTTGAATCATCTCACTAATTCATTTGAATTTCAAACCCTTAAGAAGTACATAAGCAAAGTATAGTATTTAACAACTTACAAAACTGAGTAATAGTTGACCTAACTGCAACTTTTTAAAGTAAGCATCGGCTTTATTAAAGTTTTGATACATTAAGTATTTATTATCTTCAAAAATTTTGACATTAAAAAAACTCGGTAAAATTTATTGTACTTATGATCTTATTAAGTACTACCTATTTTAAATGTCATGTCAATTTTTATTTATTTTTTCGCCCCAAGAAGGGTAAACTAATATTATGGGAACAACTTATAACGCGGGAAAGATACTAATTAATGAGTTTGTTGTCAATTAGATTTGGTCCTCGCGGTCACTGAGTGGGGATTTAAATAACTATTAGCAAAACCTCCAGCGTTTTCTTCAAAGTTGCAAAAATTCAAGTGGGTGGGCAATAATTTCGTATTTATTCTCCAAATTTCAATTTAGCCTCGTTTGCTCTACCTACTCCTTTTTCTAATTTGGATCTGCGGTAAAAACCAAAATCGCGATAAAACACAATAATTCATACACTTATAACTTTTTATTTGGATTCAGTAGCTTAAAATATAATAAATTTTCACATTATTTTATTAAGTAATTAGTAAGTAGTATTTAAATTAATTTTGCACTCTTAAATTATGTTATTTATAACGTTTTAGACTTTCTATTATATTTATTAGACTAAATATATTAAACCAACGATAAATTTAACACAAAACATTTTAAAGAACTTTTCATAGGAGGGA